GTGAACTTTCAGCTCATCATATATTTAGAGTGCCCCCATACTTCAAAGATACTATACGTTTACAATCGTCCATGCTTTCTCCGAGATTCGAACCAGGCCCTTTGGTACCGCAATAGGCTCCTTTAACCATTGCACTGTCTGGGCTCTGGGCGGCCACGATGTTTTAGAACTTTTATGTTTTTTCCGTGCTTAGTTTTCTCCCACGAAGATTTTGTATGACTACATTTTTGTCCTGCTTTGTTTTCTCCTCTACTATTTTCTTCCACAATGTTTTCGCCTGCAACCATTTTTATATGAACATCTTGCATTATCTGCTATTAAAATAAGTAATGTTCAGTGCTTGGAGGAGCATTATTCATTATTATGTTCTTATACAACAGAAACCATGCACTTGATAGAATAGCCCCTTTGATTTCTGTTATCATCAGAAACAATAATAAAGATCGACGGAGAAAAGTTAAAATTAATGACTTTACTTTCATAACAATTAACGTTTTACATTGGAGTCAAAACAGACGAACCATAAACAAGTTTAACTGGTTACAGACGAAAACATCGCGGCAAAAACATCGCGAACGAAAACGTCACGGAGAGAAAACAACGCAATGCGAAAACGTCGTGCTACAAAACATTGTGGGAGAAAACATCGCAAAGAGAAGACATCGCAGTTCTAAAACATCGTGGTACAAATCATCGTCGTCGAAAATAAAGCGGTTCAAAAACTTCGCAGTTTAAAAACATCGTCGTCGAAAATATCGTGGTACAAAATAAAGTATCTACAAATCATCGCATGACGATAACATCGCAGACATGCTTTATTCAGGCTTTAGCATGGCATTTTTATTTTCATATTTTTTATTAACTAATTTTTTTCTGAGAAAATAAAGAAGGAAACTTAAGCATAGAAAATTAATGAAACTTATAGCACTTAATGGAATTTTAAACTGACATAATTAACTAACAAAGACCATTAGCAAATCATTTTTTATAAAGTTTTTACTGGTAATGTTTCATGAGAAGTATAATCTATAAGTGCATTTAATTTTCTATGCTTAAGTTTCTTTCTTACTTTTTCAGCAAAAATTTATTAGTTAATAAAAAAATGTGAAGGTAAAAATTATCCTTCTTTACATCTTGCGCTCCCAAATCATTACGGGAATATCCATTTATAATTATTAAAATTTGAGAAAAGCATGTCTGCGATGTTATCATCATGCGATTATTTGTAGATACTTTATTTTTTACCACGGTATTTTCGACAACGATGTTTTTAAACTGCGAAGTTTTTGAACCGCTTTATTTTCGACGACGATGTTTTGTGCCACGATGTTTTAGAACTGCGATGTTTTCTCTTTGCGATGTTTTCTCCCACGATGTTTTGTAGCACGACGTTTTCGCCTTGCGTTGTTTTCTCCGCGACGTTTTCGTCCGCGATGTTTTTGCCGCGATGTTATCGGCGGACACCAATTTAACTGCTTTAGTTTAACTCTAAGCCGTATATATACGGCTTAGAGTACTTTTGGTGATGCCTATAAGAATGTTATAAACGTACATCTTGAAATATGTCCAAAAAATAAGGGCAATGTATTAAAAATAAGCATATCCAGGTATAAAGTAGCAGGGGTATTTTGGCAATGAAATTAAGAAAATACCTATTTCACGCGTTGTGTCTCAAAACGTCCCTTTGGTCCAGCTGATAGGCTAGTGTTATCCAGATAGGTTTACCTTCTAAAGCGGACACATGCCAAGAAAATGACTACTCATTTGAGAGTTATTTTATCAGTTTTTTGAATATGTATTGTAATTTATACCTAAATCTGCGTATCTGCGACATACGTAATTATGAAAAATTGTAATTATGAAATCTACGTATGCTGTTCAATGTAATACAGGGCAGAAAAAAAAGAGCATCCGAAATCCATTACTTTTAGTTTATTTATGCGCATTTCACAATGGCTATTCCACATGTCATGGATAAGTGTATATTCCACGTATTTTGTGATTACTTGCAACATGCGAGAACACTATTCAGGAGTTATATCCCAAATTACTGATTGTTCTCACGAAAATCTTCCACAGTTCGGGTCGGGCGTGAAGCACTTCTCTTTGAACTTTCCCCTAAGGAAACATTAAAAATTATTTTTTTCCAAAGGAAAACATCACAGATTACATTTAGACATTGGAGGAAAAGGAATGTCAGTACTTCTGGAAAAAAGTCATTCCAAAAACATTCCTATAACATTGATTCATTTCTCTGGTCCGTTAAAACATTAACATAAAAATAAACGACGAATAATATATAGTCCAATAACAATGGTCCTATAAAACCTTTAAAACATTAACATAAAAATTTAATATTAAGCATGCGAAAAACACTTAAGCATTGAAGAAAATAATAATAAATTAATTATTCATATCACTTCATGGTTTGGGTTACTCTTTTTTTTGTCTCACCCTATGTTTAATGCATAATTAACAAACTTCGTTCTGTTTATGTAATATTGAGCTCTTTGTTACTATGAAATTTTTTTTACATAATCTTTAACAGCCCTGCTTTAGACATAAGAAACCTTTACAGCAAAAATTATGATTCCAATTAAAAAGAGGGGTTGAAAAAACGATGAAAAAGTGTAATATAAAAATACAGCATAGTCCATAGTATTAAAAAACTACTTATTATTTTGTTTTTGAAATTAGAGTGAACAAATGTTTTAAAATATCACATGGGTATGGCATTAATATATCTGCAGTAATCTAAATATACTAATTTTACCGTTAGATATTGATATGATACATTAGACTTCGTATAGAGTGAAAAATCTTCGAAGCATTTTTGCGTTACTAGGATTATTCTTTTAGATGTTTTTTCTGGAAATGTAAATACGCACAGACGGACCAAACAACGAGATATCATTCAACATTTTTTAATGATTCTAGTTTTAAATATGCTGAAATTTATGTTTTATGTTTAACTTTTTAAAATATTTTCCAATGTTTTTTTGCAAAACATTTCCGGTGTTTTTATTTTCCATTTTGAATTAGGAGTTACGACCTGTTCGTCGTGTTTATTAACACAACTTTGCCTTCATACAAATTAAAACAGGTGCATATGAACGAATAATTTCTCTTTTAGAACATTCCAAGCGTCGGAAGAGAAAAAAAGTATATATATAGCGGCAGGAATGCTTCCGTTTTAATGAAGGGCAATGCAGGTACGTGCCCATGCCATTCAAAAATGGCAACCTCTCGTGTCGCGAAACAAAAGAAACTGGAGAATCTAAATAACGCTAATGGGAGCATCCTCATAATGAGTTATTAATCTTGCTTTTTGCAAGAACGGTGTTAATGTTGTTAGGAAGTGCCTCGCTTTTTTTGATCTCTCATCCACTCTTCGCCGAAGCATTAATTAGTATTTGTATTTATTTCATCGCAGGTGGTGGCATCGGGACTCGATGGGCTGAAGCCAACGAATGGCGGTAATTAGTTTCGTTCGCACCTTTGTCTTCATGTGACACTTAAAATCGAGTTTAAAAGCTTCGGAGCTCGAATGCAGAGTCTGCGATTTAAAAATTTATAAGAAAATGAAAGCCGATGGGCTCATTATTTTATGCAGGCTGGTTGACAGAAAAATTAAGGAGATGGAAATTTCTGATTATTTTGTCTTACCGCTTTCGGAGAATTTCTAGAAGTATCTTTGGTTCTTTTACTAAGTTCTATGAGATGTTTAAGATGAAAGTTTCTTGCTATTTAATGATGAATAATTTTTAAATTGCTATTGAAACTAAACGTAAGTATTCTAGCTTGGTTTTGTTTAATAGCAGTGCTTAAATACATTAAAAATCTTGATACTTCTTAAGTGCAACTTAGTGAATTATGACTTTGTATAACAATACTTTTTGGGAAGACGTAGAACTTCGAAAAATATATTTATCTTAAAATAGCAAAAATTGCAATCTTCTTATTTTGGCATGATGTTTGTTTTATTTTTAAATTCATATAAAAATAATCAACTGTTATCTCACAATTATTTTTATATATTTTATTATTTAATTATATTTTTAAAATATATTCCTCTATTATTTCAAAATTATTTAAAAATATCAGACAAAGATGATTTCCATACATTAAATTTACCTGTAAAAATATCGTAATACCTTTCTGAATGTTCTACGAGATCACTGGATTTACAAAAAACACAATGTTATAGAAAGTTTTTAAAATTTTCATGAGTAGCATATTACATAATTTGTGTTATTGTGAGAGTCAGCAAAATCAATTTTATTGGATTATGGTAAAGCCCACTAGGGCTTTATCTGCTTAAAGCAGTGCTTCATGGTGAACGTTTTAAGGGAAACTGGCTCATATTTATGTTACACATTGTGAAAGCTAGTACGAAATTGAAATGAGGTCTAAAACTCTGTAGGAGATTCCTTTTCTTTAGATGGAGATCTGGAGATATCACAGCTGTAGTGTCCTCGTGAAACATAAACTTTCTAACATTCATGACCATCATAACTGTCTGTTAGAAGACTGAGAATTGTTCTGTTGTTGTATTACTATTGTTGAACTCGTTTTTCTATCTTTAGATCCTTTTCATCTTGTTCACTACCCAAGCGAACTTGGTATTAATTTTATCGACCAACTCAAGGGATGAAAGGCTGAGCCAAACTTGCCCAGCCCGGGGATCGAGCTCCGGATCTGTGGTGTAGCTGTGCGACTGCGACAGCCATTTCGCCACCGCGCGGTTTTATTGAATTATACTGCTTTGATATTTTGAACTTATGGCCAATCGATGAAATAAGTAAAACAAAAATTTAACAAGAGCTTCGGTAGTATGCTAAATGTAACCGCAACGAAGAGACATTAATGCTTTAGAATGAAAGCAGTCTACAGAGGCAGGTACTGCAAAATTGTATTTTCCTCTTTCTTGTTACATTTTGACCACAGTGTCCCACCAGTAATAACTGGTTCTACTGTTAAAAATTAATTTATAGTACATTATGACTCATCATTATAAGCATATTTTAAATAATTTATTTGAACACGATAATGTGGAAAATTTTGATAAAATGACAATGCGATTACCAATGGAAGGTACTGTTCCCCTTAAAATGGGAAGTATTGGCTAACCGAGTACTAAGAAGAATTTCTTAAACCTGTTCAAGAAAAAATATAATCCCTTACGAATATTAAACCCAGAGTCTACTTTCTAGTAGAATGGCATATTTTAGAAATGTGGCAGCTCGGCAGGTAACGCTGGCTGGTGGGCACGGAGAGTACCGTTATAACGTTGCGCGCCTCCAACTTGCACGCAACCAAGAGGTGACTGTGAAAGCTGTATAAAACACAGAGTCTTGTAAAGGGTTTAAGTCCCTTTTTATTCAACGTAATAAATTACAATTGCGTCCTCTTGACGCTTACAGACGGTGCCAACTCGGCAGTCAAATAAAAATAATAACCTGAAAAGAAACTAAAGACAAGATTCTAACTACGAGGCTCTCTAAAATAACTAACTCACCGCGTTTTACAATACCGCTGCTAATTCCAGCAGACTTGAAGCTCACTGGAACGATTAACACTACTTCCCGCCAAGCACATAGGCCGAAACGCGGGGTTCCTTCAAATTCTCGCTAACTACCTCGCGCTCGCTAAGTAAGAATATCACCACCGAACTTGTTTCCTTCTATTTAAAATCGAATACTTCCGCTGATAATTGAATGCTTGCGCGTTCTACTCAAATTTACATATTCTGGCATTGGCAGTTTCCAGGGGAAAGTAAGGCTTGACAGGAAAGATATTTTAAACTTAAATAAATGTTAGTTAAAATAAATATAAACCCTACACCGTGGTGAAGCTTCAATAATAATTAAAACAAATGCTAAATAAAGATAAATATATAATTCTAATAATGAAAATATGATTATATAAAAATAGAGTTAATGTACGTGGATTGTAAAAGTTGTAACGGCTCGAACAATTTATTCTCCTTTTGCAAACTCGTTTATGAAAAAATGCTGCTATAGCAGGTTGTTCATAAATGTTGCTAGTTAAGCAACATTTATGAAATATAAAACTGCAAATCTTTTATATAGTGTAAAGGGAATAAGTTGTTGAGGGACAACAATCAGCTGAAATGAAATTATTCTCTTAGTACCAACAACTGCCAAAACAAAACTGTCTGTATTTTAATTATTATTCCATTTAATGAAATCTGCTTGCAACTCGAAGTAAGAAATTCATGAAATGATACGTGTATGTACTTAAAGAGTTTACTATATGTAAAACGAAGCACTCCATTAGTGAAGAAGTTACATGAGGGCAATGAGAACGTAAAATATTTCTCTTTATGCGGAATCAGATATTTCGAAATGTAATTCATCTAAGCAGAGAAAATAAGAATTCTTATTAAAATTATTTTGTAAATACGAACGTTTATTGTCAAAATGTCTAAAATTTATAATTTAGCCAGCACTGCGTTGCCTAGCCCCGATTTAGTCTATAATTTCTACCACCGACGCGTTTACACTTCAGATGCTATAAACATAATCTTTTTTTGCCCAGACAGATAGATTACGTCATATGAAGTATAAAAGTGTATATATGTAGAAAACATTATATATCATCTATTTAACCATAATTTATTTTTTCCAGGTTATTTATACGATGTTCGAACATCCGGAGAATACATCCCAGATCCTGTTCCTGAGACAAAGACATTGGATGGTTGTGATCACCACCGCCGCTTCAGCCATCACCACAGGAAATCAGATACACCTTGGATAGCATTTGATGAAGATGAGGATGAAGAAGATCACGAGGGAAGCTGTTCCTCAGATTCTTTCAAGAAACAGCTATCCAAGGACCTGCAGGATCCAGCCGGTGATTCCTCTTCCGCAGCTACCAGTTCCGATGAATCAAACAACAGTATTGGGTGCGGTTCTTCTGTGTCGAACTCTTCTTGTGGCAGGGGAGAAGCCACATCTTTTTTGGTCATCGGGGACGGTCGAACGCGTAGACGTAAAGACCCTGCAGCACCCCGTAGGGACAGGTCTCGTTACACGTGTTCCGAGTGTGGTAAACAGTATGCCACATCATCCAATTTATCGCGACATAAACAAACGCATCGTAGCCCAGACTCGCAGTTGGCCAAGAAGTGTCCCACCTGCGGGAAGGTATATGTCAGTATGCCGGCTTTGTCGATGCATGTACTTACGCACTCGCTAAGTCACAAGTGTAACGTGTGTGGAAAAGCTTTTTCCAGACCATGGTTGTTGCAGGGACACATGCGCTCACATACGGGCGAGAAACCATTTGGCTGCGCTCATTGCGGCAAGGCCTTCGCGGACCGCTCCAATTTGAGGGCCCACATGCAGACTCATTCTTCCTTCAAGCACTACAGATGTCACAAGTGCAACAAATCGTTCGCTCTGAAGTCCTACCTCAACAAGCACTTCGAATCCTCTTGCTACCGCATGGATGGGCTTGTCGAGCTACCCGATGGTGCAGAGGAAGAAGCTGAAGGAGACGACGAAGCGGATATGCACGAACCCCCTACAAAAACGCTTTAGCTTTATGGGATATCCGTAATGTCGGCTCACTGACCAAGAAAGATGGCTTAGTTAATGAAATATTTCGTATTTAACTCAGCCATTATAAGTTATTAATGCTGCTTTTGGAAGTTATAAGGTGAAAAGTTGCAAAGAAATTCTTTTGGTATTTAAAAGAATTTTTGAGCTATGTAGCATGCTTTTATACATTGTTTTCGGTATGTAAATAATTTACATTTTTTAGACACAGGTAATAAGAAGAGTGTATCACATTAATTTAATAGATTGCTTTAAATATATGTTATCCTCGTTGATTAGTAATCAGAGCTTAAATAAGTTTCATCCTAAAACTTTCTTTAAATTAGTGAGCTTTTATTTTAGATTTACAATAGTTTATCAAATGTTACCTGGAAACTTACAAATATGTGTATTTAGCTTAAGTTACAGAAATACGATTTTTTAAAGCATAGCTTAAATATAGTTTTAGACTATTAGGGATATTTTATGATAATAATAACGATATAAAATTTTATTTAAAAACTGTAATTTATTTTAACAGAATATTGCGATTGATATAAACATTAAATATAATATAAAAAGTTGGTTTGTAATAACTAAATGATAATTTGAATGAATTTATTTTCAACAAGTTACATTTTCCTTGAAGCAATAAATGTTGAAGTTTTACATTTAGAAAACAGTACACTGATATTTTAAAGTTTACTGAAATGATCTAATGACTGCAATATAAAGAACAAAAATAATCATTGCAGATTGGAATTACATTTTAAACCAATGACAGCGGCTAGTCATTGCGCATATCAGCAATAAATGTTCTTTATTTGTAAATACGAAAATTTGGCACCAGAGCAGAAACATTGGCAAGTGTCAATATCAAAGGTGTACAGGTAGACTTCATACGTATTGATTACACTAATAAATTTTCTAATGAAATTGTTAATTATTTAGCTGCAATGCTTTAATTTAAATGATATCCATGATTTATTATTTTATGATTATATTAAAAGGTAATCATTAATAGTTTTAGAAAATGTTTTTATTAATTGCTATTTAGTACTTTTTGTTTTAAAATTAGGTTTAGATATTTTGAATAACATTTAGTATGGTGCTGTGGCATCTGAACAGGTCTTGATAGCCATAATTATCTTATTTTAATTCTAATAAACCGTTTACTTAAAAGCAAGCAACAGATCAGACTATATGAATTGCTTTTGTTCTTTGATAGAAACTTTACGGTTTTTCAAGATGTATCAAACATAGTAAAGAAATTATATCCTAACGTTAACTTTTGCTTCTTATTTGCAACACAACAGAAAATTAATTAGATATTCTTCACCGAGAATAAACCCATTATTTTTTAAAATCTTTTTGTCTGTGATATAAAAATTGAAACATAGATTAGTATTAATAAAATTTTAAATGTAATGATAATGAGTATGAAAATTAATATATAAATATGCCCTGTTCGTGACAGAAATCTGTTTTTCTTTTGACATCCGAAACTATATAAATGTTAATTTTCTAATTAATGTCCTTCTCCTGAAGATAGGTAATACTAGATAGTAATTTAATAAAAACGATGAAAGACAGTTATTCTCAGAAATAGTCGATCAAAATATATTTTTTATCTCATTTAGTTGTAGGTAATGCATTTCACTATATATGTTATAAAATGAACTACAAGTAAAACGTAAGAGCACAAAATAATGCGAAAGAAAACATGCAGTAAGTTGGCAAATTTTCAAGTTAAATGCTGTAATTTTGTGCTGATTGTGTTCCAACGCATTTACGATGCATCTCAAATATAATGTATTACACAATGACATCGATTCTTTTCATAAATATATAAAATATACTAAATAATAACTATATTTAACATATGATATCCATGCATATTATATAATCGTATTGTAAATCTGTACCAAGTGGACACGCTCAGACACATTTCACGGATATGAAAGGTTATTGTATTATATTTTATTGCCATCTGTGGATATTTATTACACTGTGTAGTAAAATAAAATATATCGCTCTTCATTTTAGGAAAATCGTACTTTTCTCTATGAAAATTAATATCAAATGGAAAAGGTAATTTCAAATGTGCAACAAATATAAAATATAAATTTCCGAAATATTGTCTGAAGTAATATTACGTTCACTCGCTACTGGCTAATGTTGATGCCAGATGCCATATTTGTTTAAAAGTTGAGCTTAATATACTGAAGGTTACCATTATTGTTAAAATTTATGAATGGGTGATATAACGTTTTGTGTATGAATACTTGAGCTAAGTAATATATATATATATATTTAAAATTTAATTAAAGTTTAAAAAAAAAAAAGGAAAAAAAAAAAAAAAAAAAAAAAAAAAATAAAAAAAAAAAGTTAAGGGGTTAAACAGTGAGTAATTTGCGGTAAATTTCAGTTTTAAATAAGTTAAAACCGATAGCAGTTTTAAAAACCAGAAATAAATTAATGCTCAGGAACGCATTTGAAAAAAAATTACAAAATGGAAAATGAACAAAGATTTTGAAATTTCTTTTAAAAAACTGATTTAATATTTCCCGGGACATCTTCATCAGGAGTTTGGTGGCTCAAGAAATGCGGAAAAATGTTTCTTAGCTAACCAATGTAAAATTCAGAAATTTAATTAATAATTAGAAAAACCTTTCATTAAGAAAAAGCAAATGAAACTGTATGTTGGTAGCCCAACCGCGGCAGGACGAAATTGAAAAAAAATACTTGGCTGAAAAAAATAATATGAAAGTAGAAATAGTAACAGTAAAAGAATATTTCAGGAAGAAAAAATTAAAAACTTTTTTAAATTTTGAAATGTGTTGAAGATGAAATCCTGTAATCTGGAAATTGAAACTAGAGTCTGTCAGTAGAATACAATCATCAATAACGCAAGAAAGCAAAATTGCATATTGAGGACACTAATTAATAAAATTTACATAATTCGCAATGAGCACAAATTACGAAAACAATAAAGAAAATCTTTGAATTTAAAATTTTAGTTAAATTTATTGCTAAGAATAACGAACAAGAAAATAGAAAAAGATCTATCTCTCTCTACATATACATATGTAAAATTTGAATTTAAAATGAATATTTAAGCAGTATTATGAATCAAAATAAAATACTTTTTATTTGTCATGATACACTTAAGCAATACATTATATTTAAACTTATTTTTAAACCAAATATAGCAAAATATCTTTAAAATCGCAAATTCAGTCTCAGTTTCAATTCAGAAAAACACTTTAACAATTAAATTAATTTGAAGCAGTTCAATGTCTTTACGGCTAAAATTTATGCGTAGGTCAATAAATCGATTACGAGTGAAAGTGATGAAATAAGCATTTTCTGAAAGGCAGTTTCCTTTATTAAATATTAGTATTTTAGTAACTACCACGTAAGAGAAAGTATTATTGCAAATATATTTCAAATTGAAGTTTAGCATGGCAGGTGCGCAACAATACAACTCGGCTGGTAATCGATGTCTGTTTTTGTTTTGACACTCGACAGAAAGCTGTCACGAACAGTTTTGAACGGCTTGTTCCAACATCTGGATTGGATAAGCGTCGTTTATTAAAATAAGCTCTGGAGTATAAACTTCTGGAATTTTATTTTGTTTTAGTTTTCGTCACTGATAAGTGAATTAATGCTTTCGCATTGCTTAGGTCACAAATAGAGACCAATTTGTTACGAAAATGCAAGCAGGCAGAGTTTATTCTTTTAATTGAGTTTAAACTGTCGTTAGTCAATTTCGAATGTCCGTTTCATATTCAGCAATAAATGTTCACAGCAATAATATATGGGTGAACGAATAGAGCATGCGCGAATAACGTAGAGCAGATGATGGCACCTTAATTCTGAAGATTTACTCTAATGTATAACTCATCATTTTCCATGTTAATTACTTTAAACGGATAGAAATATTTTGAAAGCTAATTATTAAGAGTTCTCAACTGTTTCTAGATCAGAGTATATTTTAGTAATTGTATTAAAGAAATATTTATAATCAGGTATAACTAATCTGATAACGGATGATGTTTAATATTTAATACAGTCATTTGCTCAAGTAATGAATTACTTTTTGTAAAATCCTTTTATTTCTTGGTCTATGAGAATATGGCTAAGACTTCTTTAAAATAAATTTTAAGCGTATTAAAACAAAGCTCTTTTGATTTAACCTTTTTGAGCTCGACTTGATTTCAGGAATTAGAAATGTGACATTAATTTACAATTATGCCTCAGACTGAATTGATTGTAAGTTAAAAACTATAATTATTACTACTAAAATTTTAATGTGACACTTTTCATAAACTAAGGTAAACTTAAGAGGCTATTATATTTTAATAAAAAATAATTCAAATAAAATATTTCTGTAGTATTATATTTTATGATATTTAATTTATGGAATATTGCAAATTTAATTCATAATTTTCTGATTTATTGATTGATAACGTTTTAATGTATTTATTTATTTTTTTAAAAAAGTATTATTTTGGGGTTCATAAATAAAAATCTTACTAGTAATTATTTACTAATTTTTCAAAATTTACATGTTAAAAGATTTTGCATTTTTTTATTTTGCTATGAATAATTATTGAAGATTTAATCATTTTTCAACATTATTTATTTTTCATTCAATCATACTTTTCAGTTTCATGTTTCATGTTTGAGAAGCTAAAAACATATTACAATATTTGTTTTTTAAAAATTAGAGCATAATAAGAAATTTCTTATATTGAATAGAGTTTAATATGATTTTTATCATGGAATAAATTAGCATCATAGGAAAAGAGTATTATATTATCATCAAAGATAATTTTTCTAATTACGATCGGAAAGCAAATTTCAAAAAATTATGTATTTCTTTTCAATTACCTATATCTTAACCTATTAATCATAAAAAATAAGTGCAAAGATTATTTATTCATCTATAACAATCCTTTTTTTTTCTTCAGATATAAGATTCTGATGTCAGGTTGCTTTTCATATTAATGTATATAGTAGTTATTACTTAGTTCGTGTATGGTTCGTGTATGGTAAATTTTTACGAAAATTTCGATGTGATATATTTATTTCTTGATATATATCTTGTGTAATATATCTTGATATATATCTTGTGTCATTCATCTTCAAACTCGACTTGTGATTATAGCAATTCTTATCTATTATTGACAAGTTCCATTTATGAGTATTACTGACCCAACACGATTTTTGCTTATTCGAGTTTTTAATTAAAACTTACTTTTCAAAGATTATTGTGATATATTTAAATATTCATTGTAGTAACTAGTCATAAACTATGAATAAAGGGAAAGGATTATATATTAATTTTTTTTATATTTCGCTGTTATATACAATAGCTTTACTAGTCATAAGCTCTGCCGATGAAGGACTTGTAACATATGTATTTATATTTTCAGTGTACTGTACATATATTATTTCTTTTATGTGTATTTTATTTTCAGCTTTAACATCTTAGATAGATTATTTATAAAATAGGAAGAAACATAAGTGAAAAAATTAATATTTAACCTCAGTGTTTCAATACATGAATTTCATATTATTTTCAAAGAGAAAACAATGTACCAATAGCATAGAGGCAGCAGAATATTATAAGTTAGTAAGATATAATATTTTAATTTTCAATGTCTTTTAATGTTTGTTATTTTCAAATTTCTAATGTCTAATTAGCAAAACTAAAGAGAAATGCAATCAACTGTTATATTGGATAAACGGTGTAGTTTGTAATTAATATCTGCATGCATGATTCGAAAGTGAATATACAATATGTAATTTTTTATAAAAAAATTAATATGTGATTTAAATGGTATATTTTAATAAGAGATTTGATTTAATAATTCAGCTTTATTTTTTCATTATACATAATCTGTTATGTTATATGTACATAAATGATTCAGTTATTCAGGAATTAAAAAGTTGGAGTAATTGAAGTTTTAAAGGTAGCTATCTAAAATGGTGTAACTAAAGCAATAATTCTTTGTAAAGCAAATACTAGCTAACAAGCAGTCATGTTTGTCTGTGACATGTGACGTTAGTGTCCAATAAATAATGCGTGTGTTTCATACGACTGGTGCAAGCGATAGAACTGTTACTGGATTAATATTTGGAAGGGACGCAATATATTTTTTTACATAAAAGACCGACATTTGTCGCTTTTGGTCTAATAAATTAAACTTTCATGTTTGATAGAGCAATAATATGTTCGATATCTCAATCAGCAATACTCTATATGTATTATATGTGTATTTTTACGCGAATTGCGAAGTTTGCGAAGTTTTCCATTCATAACAGTAACTAATATGCATGATATGCATGATTGTCATGTTAGCGCAGCGTAGGTTGAATTTCAGCGCATTGTTTAGCGGTCAGTTGTATCGACCTTTATATTAGAATTATTTGATAAAGGTCAATCAAAGTCAACCTGTGCAGAAGAGATGTTTAATTACGATTGAATTATGCCTGTCTTTTGAATATATCGATATCTGTATGTCAACAGTTAATTTCGGGTTATATCAAAGGCCTTTGAAGAAGATTATTATTAATTAAATTATTAACTATATTAATATTATTGAATTAGTATAGTATAACTTCTTAATCAAATATCTCATTTGCTATAATGGCGTATTATAAAATCACATAAATTCTGTATTCTGATTATCCTTACACTTGAAAAACATTAAGAGTTTAGTAATAGCAATGATAATCAATTTGTCAGACAGAAATGTCAAGTAAAATTTATTAAAATATAAGTTTTAACAAAGAAAGTGCATAGCATTTATTCCCGTAAATTGTAGATTTAAATCATCTCTACAAAACTGCAAATAGACAAGAGTTCTTGTAATTTTCAATATACTTTATTGTTTAGAAAATGAAAAATGTTTATAAAGAGAAAATCAGTAAACATTTCTAAATACTTATTTACAACGAAAAAAATTAAATAAATTTAAGAATATTTATATATTTGTAATTAAACATCAATGAAAATATTCCTCGTACGATTTTTCGAAATTAGGGATAAATACGAGCAATTCAAACCTAGGCTTTAGCTATTTAGTTAATGTTACACTTTATTTCGAAATTGTTTCTTCGCAAAGAAGTAAATCATAAAAAAAATTTAATCGCAGTTCAAATCAAATAAAATGAAACGTAATATATTTTCGTTTTCAAGCAAATATTTAAGAAATCCAATTTTTCAATAAACTGTTCAAACTCTGTACGCTAAAAGGCGAAGATGGAGGCTAATTTAGCATCAGTTAAAAAAACTTGAATTTTTAAATTACTCTTTTGAGGAGGGG